AGGAAATACAGAATAATTCATGAACAACATTTTTGCCGTTGACAAAAATTCATACGGCACTTATTTCCTTTCAAATATCTCAAGATTACTTAATTGTGTGCTTTGTACTGTAGAATGTTGACACTGTAATCCACACACAGGAGCCTATTGCATAGCAAGTCAAGAATAGGTGCACGTGCTGACACACACATTTCTACCAGTGTGTGACAGCTCATTGAAGTCGACAGTGCAGACCGGCAGTGTGTGAATAATTCAAAGTGATTATTAATATTTGAAACGGAACAGCATGGCAGATGAAAGAGTCATCTGATTCACTCATTGCATCCTCTACCTCCCTCCCTCTGTAATTGGAGAGAAGAAGCAGAGTGAGAAATGGAGAGAAAGAAAAATCTGTGGGAGATACACATGGAAGGAGATGAAGAAAGGATGGGATTGTGCTCAAGGAAAGTGAAGACGGGAAATGAGCCTTGCGTGGGACCCCATCTTTATAGTCAAAAGGACAACATCATCTGCAAAGAATGATTCACACAAGTGCTATGTACCCTTTATCCATTAGTTACCATGGATTATCCATCCAAACACTAAAATTAGGTCAGCAAAGGCAGCGCCTACCAGATCCACTCCATCCATTCTTACCTTTCACAATAAACAAACTAGAAATATAAACTTCATCAATTTCTACCAGAGGCAAATTCATTTAAGCATTTTGCTGAAAGGAAATTCAATAAAATATCTTAATAGTTATAACAGTCACCTCGGACAGACTGTTCGACTTTGCTCTCGGTAAATAGGATCTTGGTAGTTGGTCCTCTGCAAGCTAGTAAACATGGATGTAAAATACTTTAATAATTGGCTTTGCAAATGTTTTATGGTGAAAGAAATGCACTGGAGAGGTTTATTAGATGTCAAGGATACAATCAGCAACACTGAACAGAAATGTGACATTTGCTTGTTACAAAGGAAACTACAGGGAACCTTTATAGGGAAACTCAAGGGCTGAGCATTTGTCCAGTAATACAAAAAAACTGGTTGAGAGATGAAACCACATCCGTTTGATGAACACCTCGACGCTGCGTCGACAAGCACGGCAGCTACGGTAGCTACGGTAGCTTGGAAAATAACGTCACAGCATGGGGCACTGAATTTGATGGATTTACTGTTCAGGCAGGCTGTATCAGACTGCAAATGAGACAAGAATTACTACTCGTGTTTCCTCTACCTCACTTCCCGCCACTGGGAAACTACTTTGCTAGTGGAGAGCGGGCGCCAGCTTCAGATACAGACCATACCGGCTGTAGCAACTCAAATTCAAACCTCTAGCGCCTCTGCCTCGGAGTGGCCATCCTCTCTTCTGCCTGCTGTAGTCTCCCAGCGGTGGGGAGCAGGGACCCAGTGTGCAGTAAAATCCAGTAGTGCTTTTGCTTTACAGATATTACCAAGTCAATGACTGATCTGGAATTCAAGTTGTGTACAACTAAAATGCATCCGTTCTATGGGAATGAACAGCGATCACATTCCTTTCCGACTGTGCACTTTGATCAAAGTCCTCAGGGTCTACTACATTGGAGAAATGTCCAGGACCTGCATGATTGCTGAACACACTACATTATGCTGACAGTGTATATTATGCCATATCCCAAGTAGCAGAGCTGCAGAAGAAGGTTTATGCACAGTTCCAGAGGGCCAGTTAGCTCTTCAATCCATGGGTCAAACCTCAAACAACATTGAGGCCGCACTTCCTGACCTGTTGGATCATGCAAACAATGTACTGGACCTGGTACTGTCACGGGAGTTCAGGATCAGGACCCAACAGCAACCACAGGACACAGAATCCGGTACAAACTGATTTTATTTCTACTGGACAGATGACAGGAATGGCTATGTGGAACCCGTGGTCCGACACAGGATTGCAGGCCGGATCGACTGTGTGATTCCTCTTTATTTAACTATTTCTCTTCTCTGTTGCTGCCTCTGTTGCCAGGAGCTTTTTTAACTCAAACCTGTAATGCAATTATACTTTCACTGAATCACAGAAAGAGAAAGAAAGGAAGCGAGAAAGAGAAAATTAGATAGTGTCTGGAACAGGGCTGAATATCAGGAGACCGCTAATGTTGAAATAAAAAAAAGAGAAATAGTTCTTGACCCAGAGAGACAGAAGGCCAGAAGACAAGTGAAACCTAGAGAGACTTACTGAGAAAGAAGAAAGTATGTTCTGGAGAAGAAAGACATATATGGAGGGTTTGGCTGGATTGATTTGGTCCCTGATGTGAGGAGGGGAGGAAAGCTGAATAGCCATGAAATATTCTCTCTGAAGACTCGTCTGCCAGCAAGTATTCAGTACGCAGAGAGAAGTATGGGGAGGAATGTAAACAAGACAGAATGTAAAGGAGGACAAAAAGGCAGAGAGAGCACAGTAGGATTAGAGGCGATGAGGTGAGATACAGATGGGATAAAGGGGAGAGTAACGATGGTCATGTAGGGAGGAAAGGGGAAATGGGGGAAAGAGGCTAAAGAAAAAGTGAGAACAGATGGAAGACAGGATGGGAGGATGCATAAAAAGGAGACAAATGGAGGAATACAGAAGGGAGGAATCAAGCAGAAGAAGTGATAAAGACATGAAGAGACAGACTCAGTTTAGAGACTCTAATACAATATTTTCTCTGCAAGTTGAACTGCAAGAGTGAACTGAAGCAATGATCATGTTGTGTATGGTCCATTGCATTACGTTTAGCTGATCACAGTAAGATTGACCCACAGGCATGTCTAACGAAAATAATGATTTTAAGATTTATCTGGATTAATATTGTGAAAAAATGTTTTTGATTCGACAGCCTTTCAGCAACTGATTTCCTTTTGTCCTTCCTATGCTAACTTTGATTACTTGAGTTCAATTTGCAGCTGTTCTGGAGTATTCCTTGTCCCTTTGTTTTTGTCTTATCATTGCTGTCAGGAGGAAACATTTTACGTTGTCAGGAAATGAAAAAAGCCTGTGTTTTAAAAAAATAATTGAACACTTATTTTTAATATGTGGACAGATACTTGCATGTGTCAATATGTAAGTAATATTTTACAAAAAAACAAACTGAAATGGAGTTACATAGTTTTTGACCAGCAAATGTCAAGAAACGTGTTTTGTTTATCACAAATCAAACGGCTGCTTGTGGCGCAGTAAGTGCAATGCAATATGTTAGCTGTAGCTACACTAGTGTCCATAGAAAAGGGATCACAATGTCTGACACAATCACATTGTCAACGTTTACTTTCAGCTCTCTCAGCGGCATTTTAGCCAAGAAGGAGGCGGGGTGGAGATATGAGGCTTTGCCAACGGTTTGAGGATCAGATGGAGTTTTGAGATTTAGTGACAAGCTCTTTTTATTACTTTTCATTGGTGAAATACTTGTAAAAACCCACAGACAGAGTTACAGGGTGAGCAAAAGCATTAATCTATTAAAATATGAAGACGCATCAGCGACGATATTTAATTTCAGGCTTCCAGTATCATACAAGTATTGAGGATATCCTGGAACATGCAGATGCAACACAGACAAATACAGGAAGGATGGAAGGAATCAGAAAGAGCTGAGGACTTGGAGATGGGTTACAAGTGAAGAGGAGGAAAGATGCAGAGAACTAAAAGTTAGAGGAAGGTAATGAGAAGGATCAAAGGATAAAAGGCTGAAAGACACAGATGTTGAGATGCAAGGGAATAGATGAGTGAAAGACCTAAATAAAGAGTGGGGTGTTGTGTATGGTGAATGTTATCTAAAATTGGAGATGTTGGGGGGCGGGGGTTATGAGGAGGAAAATAAGAGGCAGAGGAGGCAGAGAGAAAGGATGAAAGAATGAAGGGGATGTTTTGAGGAGAAAAGGGAAAGTGCAAAAGAGCTTGAGGCCAAACTGAATGAAGGGGGGGGGGGGGGGGGGGGGGGGGGG